GATCCCCGTCCATGCAACTGGCAGGAATTTGTGCGCTATCAACATTCCAGGCAAGCGAAGGGTAGCTGATGCAGAGCAGCAAGCATCAACATTTTCCATCAAATAATCTAGTTCCCTCATCTCAAGTAAGTCAATAATTTAAAACCAATTACCAAACACAATTGACTGCGCGTCTCTCACCCCTATCCACGGTGTGATGGTTTTCCCCCCACTTTCCTGTCTCGAATATGGTTTTTTACTCATTTACTCGAGAAGTTGGCTTCCTCTCCAGGTTTTAGAGAAGCCTCAGGATTTCATCTTTCACTCTGTATTAATTTAGACTTTTTCTCCCCATAAATTGGCCAGTGACTGTTCATGGTCGTCACAGTGATCATCGCCCTTCACTGCCTTTCCTCCTCTCTCATACTCCACTTGATTTTCATACAAACGCGAAGCTGCAGAAAATCAAATCAAGATAAAAAAAAATGTTCCCTGAAAAGATAGCAGAGCTTAAACCTGAACTAGTCACATCAGAAAGGGAGGGAGACAGTACACAATTTGGGGTCTCAATTTATCTTCCAAGTTTTTAGCATACCTGATGTATAAAATGTTTTATAGTGAATTAGGAAGGGATGAGGGCATCAATGGAGGGCCCAAAAGAAAACCAAATAACATTAGCTACTAGGTACCATGTGTGGCACTGGTCACATATGCATCATGTGTAAACATACTAATAATAACAATAATGCTATTATCTCAAAATTTTTAAAAAGGAAGACCCGAGAGAAACTGAGGTAGCTAATGCCATTGCAGAAGACAAGACCCGAACTAGGGTGCTATGCATGGACATGGAGAGAGGTAATTAAGTTGAGAAAGTTATAGGGCAAGGACAAGTCTTGATGGATTTGCTATGTGAGGGAGAAAACTGTCAATCATGGCTTCTGATTTCTCTCCTGGGTATGTTAGCCAGTGGCATGTGCAAACAATAGAAAAGCCAAATAGTCTATCAGGAACTAGAGTTATCTTCTTGCCAGAGATAAATTTTTAATGACAAAATATATAGGAAAAAATGCATTCATAACGCTGGACATAGGCAAACAAATGACAGTGTCCCTTTGATTGTGGCAGCTTGCTGCTCTGAGAGCTTCCAGTCAGTGGTAGACACCAACCCTGCCACCAGCATCAAGATGAGAGGGCATTTCACAAAACAAACCTTAGAGAAACAACGGGACTTGTGTACACGGCTATGAGTCATGCAATGCATTCAGCTACATATTCAGAAATGTTCAGTTAGAGCATGGGACTCAACCAATGTGATGGTGTGCATTGAAGCATCATCATTGTTTTAGGGTTCTACTGCTGTGAAGAGGCACCATGACCATGGCAATTTTCATAAAGGAAAAACATTTGACTGGGGTGGCTTCCAGTTTCAGAGGTCTCTGGTCCACTACTGTCATGATGCACCATGGAGGCGTGCAGGCAGACATGATACTGGAGAAGCAGCTGGGTGCCCTACATCTTACAGGTAACCGGAAGTAGACTGAGACTCTGGGTGGTATCTTGAGCATATGTGAGACCTCAAAGCCTGCCTCCACAGGGACACACTTCTTCCAACAAGACCACACCTCCTAATAGTGCCACTCCCTGTGAGGATCACTTCCTTTCAAACCACCACGGTCATATACACATGGTATTTGGCAACCCCAGGTACAGGCTAGGCAGAAACTGCCCTTCTTGGTTACAAAGCACAATACTAACTATTCAAAAAGGATATGGTCCATGCCACATGGTTTGTATTATCTACGAGATAAGGATAGATACTAGGTTCAAAATTCAGAGATGAAAATCGCTGCTAACAAAAGCAACTGTCAGATAGCATCTCCTAAGGCCTGGCCCAGAAAGGTAAGGACTCTGGTCCTCACCAGAGTTTAGTTCATTTCCCCTGGTAGGGCAGTGTCTGTCACTGCTGCATCCTTACTGGTTTCCTGTGCTCTGTGAATAGTTGTTCTCATCGGTGGCTGCTTAAAAATGAACTTTGGTTCAGCAGGTCATAATTTGGGGGTTCCAGAGGAGCTGACAATTTAAAGCTTGGAGTAACCATCATAAAAATAAGATTATTAGCATTGGATTTTCTCATGCCCACATTTATACAAAATGACTATTCTTTTAAGACTAGAACTGAGGGGCAATAGCACCTGACAACGATGGTCACATCTCCCTTCCCGGCTTCTATGACAAAAACCTCATGCTTCCGGTTACATTACTTATAATGCAAATTGAACTGAATTTGTCACCATTGGTCAGGTGTCTCAATGCCATAACTAATCCCCTGGACAAAGGTCTGTCATTTGATGTTTGCATAGACTGGGGGTTTGAAAACTCCTACATCCTTGTTTCTTCCCTGTGGATTGTGACCTGTGGAGGCTTATCTAATTAATGACCATCTTACAGAGGTTACCCAAGACCATCGGAAAACACAGTTATTTACATTACAAGTCATAACAGAAGCAAAATTATAGCTATGAGTAGTAACAAAAATAATTGTGTAGTTGGGACTCACCACAACATGAGGAACTGTATTAAAGGGTCGCAGCATTAAGATGGCTGAGAATCACTCTCCCACACGGTGAGCAAATTCACAGTGAATGTACCTGGCTATGCCTGAACGCTCAGAGAAACACAGGCAAAACCAGACAAATTACATGCTCAGATGCTGTGATCCAGATGTCATTTCAGGGCCAAAAGAATCAGAGACTCAAGATAAAAGCCTGGGAGGTTGTTACATTTGTCCTCAGGAATTAAGACAAAAGTGTCTTTATTTCATCTCGGTGAGAACAAGTCTTTGGCCTTTCTGAGAAAGCCACCTTGCCTGCATTGCCTCAGGCTCCAGGAATCTCTATGGTGTTGAGAAACTTCACTCCACATTCATCAAAAAGGTGCATTTCATGGTGAAGCAAATTGGGCGATCTAGGCAGAAAGGGACAGGATGGCGGGCTCGGTGTCCTAGGCTCTCATTTCTTTCAGGAGTTTTTCTCTGCTTGTTCACCCTCGGGAATTCATCTTAACTCCCACCGCAGTGACCACATGAGCACCATACCCCCATCCCTCCACTGGGCTAACTTGACCCTCCCACCTAGAAAAGCCAGCTCCGGTCCCTGTGCGCAAGGCCCGGGTTAGCCTCTTGCTCTGGTCCAGCGGGGAGAAGTAGATGTTGGAGGGAAATGGCCCTGGCTGCAGGGAGCAAAGCCGCAGCAGCTCAACTCCAGCAGGTTAGGGCTCTCCGGGAGGAGGGGCTTCTTCAGTTCCTCCCATTATGTATCCCAGTGGGTCAGCCTGGTGGAGAAGCTTCCCACGGGACCAAGCGGTAAAACACAAAGTGCAAGAAATGATCGTTCTCCAGAGGAATTTTCCGCCTCAGGTTCCTACTCACGGTGGTTGTCTCCAGGTCCCTCCTCCACACCCAGAAATGCCAAACCACTGAGCTCATGCTCCAGGGTAGGGTGGGCAGAGGGACCTGGCTCTAAAGGGCGTGTCTGAAATCCCATTTACCAGGCAAGAGTCCCCTGCAAGTCTCTTCTCTCATCTTTGTCACCTGCAAATGAAAGGATCCCTAATCAAGACCCTGCGGGGAGGACAAGGGGTGCAGAGCCTGCAGATCCTGGTTTAGCACCCTTGGATGGTGCCAGCACTCTTCCCCTCCTTGTGACAAAATATAATGTTTTGTCAGTATGCGTACTCCGCTCATTTTCATTTGAAAGATGTCAGAATGAAATCCATCGCTCTACACACACTAACTGAAAAAACAGAAAACAGAAACCCTTGTCCCAGATCTGATTTTTCTGGGCATCTGATTAAAACTCAGTAGGGGCTTTCAGAGGGGTCGAACTGGGGTCAGCTCACGACTCTGGTGAGTACCAGTCAAGGACTGCACTCCGGGTTTAGAAACAAGGCATGTTTTATTTATAATGGGATATGACAAGGTTACATAGTAGTAAATTCACAGTAGTGATTTATCTTTTGTGATGTAACAAGATCCATAAAGAGCAAACACTACCCAGAAATACTTTAGGCCATTTTATAACCATTGAGGTCTCCACTGCAGGACTCTTTAAATTATCATCCAGACATTCCTGTCAATTTCCATAACTAATCATTGGTTGTTTCTTTTAAAAGTTACATAATAAACGCACAGAGGCTTCCAGGGAAGTAAACCTTGCAGTAATCCCCATAGAGCTTGCCCTTTCTTTCTTGCTTGCTGTTTGTAGGTCACAGAGGCCCTAATGCAAGAACAGATTTAACGGGCAGGCCTGCAGGCTGACGACGGGCTCCCACAGACATCTCCTCGGTGAGGGGACGGTATAAGGGATAAAGAACACAGACAAGGAGCCACTGTAGAGTGACCCTCCAAAAGCTGGGGGCTCGGAGGAACTCTCTGAAGAGATGTAGACCCCCCACAGGCTGTCATACACACATGTACACATGAGACATACACTGATTTGTCACTGGTCACATGAATGTCATGATTGCCAATAGGCAAACATGTCTACCTGGCAACACATGCTCAGAGAAATACAGGCAGAAACCAACCTTCCCCTTTCCTGGTTTGCACCCACACATAGGGAGTCTTACACAGCAGGGCCAGGGTTGACAAGGGTAAACCAGGGACTTCGCCTCGTTGTTTCCTTGGGTCAGTGGTTGGTGATGAGGAGGAGTGGGCAGGCGATGTCTAGAGTTCAATACATTGATAGACGCTTACAGAGCTCTGCACTGGCTAGTTCTATGTCAACTGGACACAAACTAGTTATCAGAGAGGAGGGAGCCTCAATTGAGACACGCCTCCACAAGATCTGTCTGAAGGCATTTTCTTAAATGGTGATCCATGGAGGAGGTCCCAGCCCATTGTAGGTGGTGCCACCCCTGGGCTGGTGGTCCTGGGTTCCATGAAAGCAGGCTGAGCAAGCCATGAGGAGCAAGCCAGTAAGCAGCATCCCTCCACGGCCTCTGCATCAGCTCCTGCCTCCAGGTTCCTGTCATGCTTAAGTTCCAGTCCTGATTTCCTTTGATGATGAACAGTGATGTGGAATCAATTAGCACAATAAACCCTTTCCTCCCCCAAGTGCTTTTGGTCATAGTGTTTCATCACTGCAATAGCAAGCCTGACTAAGACAAGCTGTTACATTTAAGACATGCACCCAAGAAGATGGTATAGAAAGGAGACTGACTACCACCACTCAAGGAGTGGCAAGAGTGAGCACCGTAAGCCTTTGTAAGACTCACCAGAATGGCCAGGCCCCCCATGCTCCTAACAATGAATTGCAATGAGACAAGCATACTTCACCCTCTCTGCTGTAAAGAACCAGTCTTCTTGCAGATCTCAAAAGGGAGATCAGAGGAAGAAAGGGAAGCAGCTATTGTCAGGAGGTCAGGGGGATGAAGGCTAAGCATTTCCTCTGGGGTTTACTTTGTGAACTTTAGCCAAAAGATCTTGACTCTGTGGCTAACCTAAGGATGAATGAGCCTTATAACTTTAAAACCTATTCGAATTTCCATGGTGCAGACTTTTGGAATAGTCAATTCGTGGACTATTAAAGACTGTCCCCCCTTTTTATAACACACACTTTTGAACAAAAGTTGTCTACTTTTGTAGACAACTGAAAATCACCAGGGGGAGGACAGCCATAGCGAACCTACTCTCGGCATTGAGTTCTTTCACACTTAATGTTAGAATTTTAATAACTTAGGTTGAAAGTTATAGGGGAAAAAAATCTATAAACATTTAAGTTAATGGAATCCTGTGTACTCTAACGGGATCATGCATCCTACTAGCTTTAGGGCACAATTTACATTCTTTAAAAAGAATAGGCTGTGGGGCTTTAAGAAATGAAATAAAAATTTATTGTCTTTAATCGTGTGATGCAGCTTTCTGCATCTTTCCATTGCTTTTCTCCAAACTATCATTCACATGGTCCCACTTCGCTAGTAACTCAAGCTGCTGAGATGCGAGAGCACAAGGGCCTAATTTGCCTTTGATTTTTGTTTCTCCTTTGGGAAGAAATCGATGCAAACTTCGTGTTTTGAAAGAAAAAAATTGATATTCAATTTACAACCAAAACAATAATTTCAGGAAGTCTGAAATTCTACTATGCAAAGAGTCATAGAGGGAGAGGGGGGGCAGGAGAGAAAATAAATTAATTCCTTAATTTAAACCTTTCTTACCCTGCTGCAAATGCACATACCAATACAGGGCTCCAACTTAACCCCTTAGAGAGCCAGGATCTAAGACAGCGTAGGGAGCACAGTATTTTAAGCGCTGATGAGCAGTGTTACATCTAACCCCACATTCTGTACATTTATGGCACTTAGAGCCACACGGTATTCGTGGCCAAGCAGCTAGCCTGTGACATTACCCTCCACACACAGCCAATCTCTCCCAGACTGCCCACCCCTTACCTTACCTCCTAAAATATTCCTGAGAAAGACATCACAAGGAACTTCCAGCCAGAAGGGACCTAACGGGAAAAACTAAGACCAAAGCACCATGGTTCCACTCTGTGTGTCCTAAACAGAGTCGTGCTACTAACATGGGGTCTCCTGGCTCTGTGCCTTGCCCCTGCGATTCCCCTTCCTTCCCCAACACACCTTCCTGAGCTAAAAGTTGTGGAGTGAAGAATGCTCACTTTTCCAAATACAGATATATTACAAATATCCCAAGCCAATTTTGATTTTTTTTAAAAAAATGACAGATAAAATAGTGTGATTTACCAAGTGCATAAACAGGAAGGGATACCTGCAGGGACAAGAGGGCATGGTGACAGTGTTCTCCTTTCCTGAAACCAGATCCCTGAAACCAGGAAAAGAAAGAGTGAATACTTGGGGGATCATTGCCTCAGATACAGGTAGGTAAACTGAGACCAAGACACCCACCCCACTTTAAGGTTTCAGGACATGGCTCCATTGGCACTTCCTGGCACAGGGTTCTGCCAGGAGGCACCTATGTCTACAAATCGAGGGACAGTCCTCTGAAACCAGTTACAAAACTAGCTGACAGAAGAGGCCTCCCAGACTGCAATGCTGACGCCCCCCTCCCCACTCTCCCTTTTCCCAGCACTCCCTTTCCCTTTCTCTTCCTGACCAGTAATTAAGGGCAGCGTACCCCTTTCCTTGCAGTACACTGCACAGTGATGGTGGTCACAAACCACAGCGATGGGACAGCAACAGTTGCCAGCGTGTGGGCATTGTTTGGTCTCCTGTGATAGGGCAGCTTGGCACATGAACTTTGTGAATACCCGTCTCCCTGGGAAATTGGATGGCTCCAAGAGGCACCTGCCAACTGGAGTCACAGTGTTGGTCTCTCCTGGTTTGTGAGAAGCAGGCCTAAGGAAGCAGAGGCTCCTGTTGCAGCCTAAGGGGGGCTCTGCAGCCAATGGCTCCCTGGGGTCACACCTTGCTTCTGAAAAGGACTCTGCGGGAGAGGCTGAGGCTGTGCAAAGAGCTTGTGGACACCCTGGGAAAGCTGGGGGGGTGGGCAGAGCTAGCCTCGGCAGGGCCGCCCACCAGGTGGGGCTGTGGTCTGGGGTGCTCAACAGGGGCTACTGTGGAGTTCAGGTGGTCAGTCCCAGGGCTAGGGAAAGGCTACCTGCCTCAGGCCAATTAAAGGAGCTGGGCCAGACACAGGGCAGGTAGTTCTCTCCATCTGGAGAAGAGAAAGCAAATCACTGAACAGCTGCAACCCGGCAGCACACAGCTTCTGTTGGGCTCTTTCTCTGAGGAACTTAAGGCAACAAAGAACAGATGCTGGTGGGTGGGTACTTCCTGGACTGCCCACCACTCCCCAGGATGGTATAGTGATATGGATAATTACAGGCGCAAACACACGCGTGGAAGGGAGTCCCCTAGAACCTATGAGGGGTCGACCAGAAGTACAGGGGGACACGGTAGCGGGGCGACAGGCAGGGACCAGTAAGGCGAGGCTCCCAAGGACACAGCAGCTCCACTTTGGTTTACAGCTGTCACAGGAACTCCAGGGAACAGCTTCTTCAGAAGTCCCATCTATTAAAGTCAGATGCCACCAGTTGCTTGTTGGGGTGGACATCTGCTTCCTTCCAAATAAAGTGCAGATGGTCGAAGGGTACTGGTCTATCATCTGCCAGTTTCAGTCAGCATTGAAGAATTAAAAAAAAAAAAATCTTTATAAAAGGATCCCCCCCAGGACATATATATCTCTATATATTCTTCTTTTGTTTTTCATAAAGCCACAAATATAGACCTTTCAAACCGATGTCTCGGACTGTAAGCGAAGAACAAACTTGTGAGATTTGGGGTCTATGAACTCTTCAGAGAGTACAATGAACGGAATTTTCTTCACATTGACTACGAGGCTGAAGTCCAAACATTTAAGGACGAAAACAATTCCATCCCGTAACCCATTCGTCACGGCTTCATCACTAATAAGTCTCCACTGTGTCGAGAGCCAGCGATCCTTGTCATACTGCAAGGTGGGACCCGCGCTGAGGTATCGTTCAAGGAAAGCCTGAAAGCCAGAGAAAAGCATTAGGAACTCACAAGGGCGGCTATGCCAAGCGGCCAGAGGTCATCTAATTTATTCCTCGGAAATGTTACTCAGTTACACAGAGATCCTAGACCAGAGTTTGGCTCCTCAGGCTGAAGCCCCACGAGACCTTCTCTGGGGGGGAAGGAAGACTTCCTGGGCTTCCCCATTGGTTTTGTTTGCTTGTTTGTTTTTGTTTTGTTTGTTTGTTTTGGCAATTTGCAACTGGAGGATGAGGCCAGAGAAGTGGAGTAGCTACTAGCATTGGTCAGAAGGCACATCTAAGGTGACAAGCCAGGTGCCACTGTACGTGCTCCCCCCCCCCCCCCCCCCCCCCCCCCCCCGGCTAAAGCCACACAGACAAAACTGCATGCTCTATCACCTGCTGGCTGTGACTTTGCTCAGTCATTCACCCTCTGTCTGGGGGGAGGTGACACTGTCTCACTCCCTGGGCTACCACGAGGTGGGAAGGTTCAGTTCTCACAAAGCACCCACGGTTCCCGCTGGAGTTCAGTTGGCACACGGTGACTGGAGGTTAGGACTGAACCCGCGAGGCCAGTTCTAGGAACAGGCAGACCAATGTTCCCTCCCCTCTTCTGAGCTCTTGCTCCAGAGGGGACACCAAGCTAACCGAAGTTCTCTGCTTCTACTAAATCCTCCCATGTGCCGTTCCTCCTTAAACTATTTTCTTGACCCTTTCAGATGGATCGACACGCTCTTCTGTCAAAGCATGATCAGAAATGACTGGGATGATCTCATGTCACAGCTTACTTTTTGAACTATGACTGACTTGCTGTCTCCTCCCTGCCCAGCTTCATGCTCGTAGAGGGCAAGACCTACATCGACACTGTCCCTTTCTTTTTAAAGTGACTTTCTGGTCCGTCTGGCACAGAATTAAATACACAAGTCAGCTTAGTTGAGAGAAAGAATGAGCCAGTAATATAAATTGAAAAATACTGGCATGTATCCATCTGGTCCTAGGCCGAGGTCAAGCCGTTTTCAGTTTTCAAGCAATCCTCTTTCGTAACTCCTCTACCCCACTGCAGGCACTGCAAGCAGCTTGCCGTAGCCATGGTGATAGGTACACAAGGAGGTGTGGCTGTGTTCCAGTGAAATCGGAGTCACAGCAACAGCCAACCCCTGGCTTTGACTCAGGAAACTCAATTCAAATGTGCATCAACAGACAAGTGGCTAGGCAAATCTGCGGACCTGGCGGAATCAGACCCAGCTCTTCACAGGGAGCAAGTCGGAGCTGTGCGAGCCAGGTTAGAGGGTATGGAAAAGAAGATCCAAGAAGCCTTGAGTGGAGAAAGCGGGTTTCCGAAGTACGAACACGTATCAAAGCATTTCCACCCTAAACACTAGAACACACACCAGCTCTCATCAGTGAGAAGTGTAGGAGTGGAGGGAGACAGGGCTTTTTTTTTTTTTCTCAAAATTTTTTTAATTTTAGTTTTCGGGTTACTGATTATTTTATTTAGTGTGTGTGTGTGTGTGTGTGTGTGCATGAGTGTGTGTGTGTGCACCCTCATGCTCATGCATGCCTTGGCATGTGTGTGACCTGAAAATAACCTTCAGGAGTCCTGTCTCTCCTTCCAGCATGTAGGTTCTGGGGCTTGAACTCAGGCTTGGTGACAAGCGCCTTTATCCACAGAACCATCTCACCAGCTCTAGTTGCTTTTGTTGTTTGTCTGTTTTTTGTTTCCATGAAGGGTCCTTCTAGGTAGCCCAGGTTGGACTAGAACTTACATAGCCCAGGGTAGCTATGAACTCATGATCCTTTTGCCTCAGCCTCCCAAGGACTGTGATTACAACCTTCTACACTGGATTTTTCTTACTCTATGATATATATTCAAGAAGGGGTAAGTTTTCAAAAGAAATGGGAAGAAATCAGACTTTTAGCAACCCTGAAGAAGGAAGGACAGCTGTCCCTCGTCCTTGCCAGAGACCATCCCTCTGCACATAGACACGTAGTTTTCTATCTACACCCTGTGTTCATGCTCTGTTGGATTTGGAGTTTTGTAACTAAATACTCAAACAACTTTTCCCCCACATTCCAATTGACGATATACCACATTAGCATGTTAGACATGTTTGTAAATGATTTCCAGTTTGGACTCACATAGAATATTCTGGATGGGGGCAATCCACCTTCAATGTATGGTTGTGCATACAGATAATAATTGAAAAGCTGATTTCAGGACCCCCCCCCATATACTAAAATCTGATGTTCACATCCCTAATATAAAACAGCACAGCATTTGCAAGTAACCTGCAGACATCTGTATACTTTCGAGTCCATCATCTCTAGGCGCCTTACAAGATCTACTCAACATGAAGCTAGCTGGCGGCTACACTGTGTTGTTCAGGGGACAGTGATGAGGAAGTTATGTACACACTCAATGTATCAGGAAAGCAAGCATATGCGCTCGGTGTGACGGGAGAGTGTGTACCTGCTCAGTGTGACAGGAGTGTGTGTGCACGCGCTCAGTGTGACGGGAGCGTGTGTGCACATGCTCAATGTGACAGGGGTGTGTATGCACGTGCTCAGTGTGACGGGAGAGTGTGTGCACGTGCTCAGTGTGACGGGAGAGTGTGTACCTGCTCAGTGTGACAGGAGAGTGTGTGCACATGCTCAGTGTGACAGGAGAGTGTGTGCACATGCTCAGTGTGACAGGAGAGTGTGTGCACGTGCTCAGTGTGACAGGAGAGTGTGTGCACGTGCTCAGTGTGACGGGAGCGTGTGTGCACGTGCTCAGTGTGACGGGAGTGTGTGTGCACGTGCTCAGTGTGATGGGAGTGTGTGTGCACATGCTCAGTGTGACGGGAGAGTGTGTGCACGTGCTCAGTGTGACGGGAGAGTGTGTGCACATGCTCAGTGTGACAGGAGAGTGTGTGCACATGCTCAGTGTGACGGGAGAGTGTGTGCACGTGCTCAGTGTGACAGGAGAGTGTGTGCACGTGCTCAGTGTGACAGGAGCGTGTGTGCGCATGCTCAGTGCAGGGATGCATATTTCCACCCATGACCGGCTGACACCACAGGTGAGGAGCCCACGGATACAGGAAACTGACTATGGACCTGACTGTGCTGGATCGGTTTCCTGGGTGAGAGACTACTGAGTGAAAGAAATGAAAAGCGCTGCAGTTTCTCTCTAGAGATTTCTGTGCGGCTTTTCCAAGTCTGTAGCACTGAGACCTGTGGGACATGTAAGAGTAACATGTCCTTAGGACAAGGCCTATTAAATATTACCTATGCACCAATGCCAATGTCACTCATGGTTCCCTATGATTTACATGCTATGCAGCCTTATTTATCATCATTTCTTACACAGTGACCTTGTCGAGCAGATATCCCTATTTTATATTGGGGAGTATAGAAAACACTTGTGCACAGCTACAAACCAACTGAGTGGTTGGGGCGAGGACCTGAACTCACCACACACCCGCTGCACCCACCCGCTGCACCCACCCGCTGCACACACCCGCTGCACACACCCTTAGTCTTTTGGCCACAGTGCTCTATTAAATCACATTGGTGCTCACTGTAATATCCATCCCTAAAAGTGTTTTAATGCCTTTATCCAAAAGTGCAGTAGCATTTCATTTGTATTTTAATAAAGTTTGCCAGAATATCAGAAAAGTAAGTCAGCCATACTGGTCAGTCTTACAGACCAGGCAGCAATGGCACACACCTTTAATCCCAGTAGCCACACCAGCTTGCCATAGAAACCAGGTGGCAGTGGTGCACAGCCTTAATCCTAGAGCTAGAGAGGATGATAAAATGAGAAGACAGCTCTCAGTCTCTGTCTCATTCTGAGGTTTCCTGCAGGCAGGATCGGCATTTTTGGACTGAGGTCAAGGTAAGAGTCAGTGAGTGGCTGCGATGCTTCTCTGGTCTTCAAGTTGAACCCCAATATCTCTAAGATTTTATTAATTGTGTTTCAAAAAAAACCTGTTCAGTAAAATAAATTCTACAGCATCCAAATTGGTGGCACCCTACCAAAAATCAATAGTTACTAAGTTAGGCTTTATGAAACGACAGGTATGGTGTTAAGCATATGACATGAATTAACATGAAGTGTTAGGAACACCTTCAGTTTATAAGTTAGGAAACTGAGGCATAGCACTAGAAGCTATTTGCACAAGGCAATACAGCCAGCCAGTTGGTAGAAGACCCAGGTTAAAATGGGTCGGTTTAGCTCTAGGGTCCACCCTAGCCACTACACTGTACTGGTAAAAAATGAAATATTGTTTTCTCTGTAATAGAATAGAGAGGCCTTCAAAGCGTACATTTAAACAAAACAATAGTACTGGGCTATGAGGCAGCTCAATGAGCAAAATGTCTGCTGTGCAAACATGAGGACCTGGGTTCAGATCCTCAGCACTGCCACAAAAAGGCCAGCCATGGCAGTTCATGTTTGTAACCCACTGCTGGGGAGGCAGAGAGAAGAGGGGCCCAAGGGCTCATTGATCAGCCAGTCCAGTAGGATCACTGAGTTCTGTGTTCAATGAGAGACCTTGGGTCAAAGATGAGGTGGAAGGGGCAGCAGTTAAAGAGATCTTGCTTCTCTTCCAGAAGACCCCAGTTTGGTTCCCAGCACCATCAGGAGACTCAGTCACCTGCAACTCTAGCTCCAGGAGTCCTAACTTTGTCTTCTGGCTTTTTTTCTGAGGCATCCAAACACACGCGAGAGATGCTCACACGGAAACACGCAAGTGCATATAAACAAACAAACAAAGCACAGCAGTGTGGCGGCAACAGAGGGGACACAGGACGTCAGGTGACTGCCCACCCACCAACCCCGGCAGCGCACCTTGGGGGTCATGCTGTTGGTGATGCAGAAGGCCAGATGCTGCAGGATGCTCTCCATGCTGTGGTAGTGTTGCTGCCGTGTGGTACGCAGGTACTTCTGCAGCGCCCTGGCCATGGAGGGGAAGATGGCCTGAGCTGCCTCCCTGGGGTCCATCACCTCTCCAGGAGACTTCTGCTGCTCCTCAGCCTGGAGACGCTGGATGTGGATGAAGGCTTCCTCTACTGCCACTACCAATCTGGGAGGAGATGAGGTGCAGTCGTCAAAGCCGAGCCCACTGCAGGGTTTGGGGACAGTCCCCTAAGACCCAAAGGGTCTCATGTGCCTACCACCAACTTCTCTAAGATTCCGTCACACTGCGCATCCCTAGCTGTCCTCCAGGGGATGGAAAGAGACCAGGAGAAAGAAAACTAACAGGAGAAACAAGATTGGAGGGGCCGGGGTGGAGGTAGGGGTGGAGGTGGTGTTCCCTGGGGCTTCTCAATTCTGCCAATAATGAGCTCAGAAAATGCACTTTAACCTGCGCTTTAATTTTTCCAATAAATGGTGAGACAGGAAGGCTTCTGCTCAAACTCCATCTGGGAAGAGGAAATGGGGATACAGGAACAGCTGATGAAGAACCAGAGCTGGGGAGCGTCTGTTGGTGGAGTGTTTGCCCAGTATTACAAGACCTAGGAGAGATGCCCAGCACCTCATGTGGTTAGGCATTCCTGTAAGCCAGCACTCAGGAGCGGGAGGCTGGGTGAGAAGTCAGACTGACAAGATGGCTCAGGGTAAAGGCCTTTGCTGAACTCATGGTGGAAGGAAAGAACCAATGCCCAAAGTTGTCCTGATCTCCACATGTGTACTGTGGCATACATGTAACAGTACATGGACACACGGGTACACACACCACACACATACACACACACTCACATACACACACACAAATAGATAAATGCTTTAAAAAAGGTTTTAAAATATAAGTTCAATGTTATCCTCAGATACATAGAGTTCAAAGCCTGGGCTACAGAAACAGAAAAGAAACCAGAGCTTGGGCCCCCTTGCTCCACCCTCCCTCCCACCCCAGCAGCTCAGGAAAAGGAAGAATGGAGCAGCAGGCATAAGGGAAGTCACCTCTGTCCCCTTCAATTAACAGGGGAAACAGTGTGGGTGGGGCTGGCACCCTCTAAGGGCAGCGGCAGAAAAGCCCCTGGGAATCTGCGCTAGCTGCAAATTCCCAAGCCTGATCCTGGACCCACAGACGGTGTAGCGCGCCCAGAACCTGTGACGGGCATTAGAGGTATGTCTGGCTGGTGGTGATTACCCCTACACAAAATCTGAGAAACATGAGGGTCGTGGACTGTCGGCAGGCATGCAGGTCATGTTTGCAAACAGAAAATTAACCGTGGAGGTGAAAATAAACTACTCCACCAGAGGGGCCAGGAGTGTGAGGGTCACAAACCTTGCTCTCCGCTTCTTCACCCGCCGCTCATGTTCAGCTTCCTCATAATACAGCTCATTGTGGCTCGAGTCCCTGCGCCGGGCAGCTGCAGCAATCATGGCTCGGGACTGACCAGAGGCATTGTTGCTGGGCCCTTGGACGAAAGGAGAATGGTGGGATAGCTTTAACATCAAAGGCCAGGAAATGGAACAGAAAAACAGTACCAGGGTACTCTCCCACCCGCCCCCTATGGAGTGCACAGGGATGCTAAAAATAACTTCCCTGGGCACCGTACTCCATAGTCACAGCAGCCGAGAAATCTAACCCCAGCCTGATGGGGAAATGGAAAAGGAACTCTGAAGAGGCTGCAGGAGGCTCAGCACTGAGAACATCGGCCAAGAACAACACCCCCAGAGCGTGCCGAAGATGATGTCACTTACCATCTGCGACACAAAGTTTCAGTTTGGCCATAAGGGCAGCTGGGACATCACATGCAGCGGACAGTGAGAGAGAAAGAGCAGGATGGAAGAACAAGGACAGACAGAAAAAAGAGAGTCAAAGAGCACGTAGAGTGGTGACCACACACAGGAAAACACGCTAAGCTGGGGAGCGGCCTTTCCAGTCCCCACCCCAGACACCAGCGACTAGCGACCACAAAATGCCCCATCTGTGAATGTCACTGTGAGTGCTATAGGAGAGATGTGGCAGGACCTCAGTTTCTTCTGGGGGACCTGCTACTGAGGATTTGGTCTCACTAAGTTTTTCCATGGGGTGAAGCTTACACTTTATATATAGAGAGAGTGTGTGCGAAAGATTGCCATCACCAAAGCTGCTATGTATGTAAATCAGCTGGCTGGCTGACGACGTGATTCTCTTCTGGAGTAGGCAAAGCCCTTGTCTTATCCCAGGTGCCCAGCGAGAAAGGACACGGAAGGAGGGAGTCCGGTTTCTCACACTTAAGCACTTGACACCCTGAATGAAGCTGGGCTCCGACTCCTCAAGTCTGGCTCCAGCTTCTCGTCACCATTCAACTCCTGCTCCTAGCCAGGACTGAGAAGCCCGAGAGGAGCTCCCAGGTGCCTGAACTACTGACATGTCTCGGCCTCACGCCTTTGAAGGAGCATTCTGGTCTTTGGGTGAGCTGCTCCAATTTGGAAAAGCAGCCCTTTCCCGAGGGCTTCCAACCGAAGATGCTCCCAGCAGGAGACAGGAAACACAACTACAGTTTCCAATATCAAAATCCCCAAATGCATGAACTTGCCATGTATGTAGACCGTGAACTGACATTCCCCTGGAAAACATGTTTGTCTACCAGTAAAATAAAACAGAAACTGTTCTGAAGTGGGGAAGGCCCGCAAGGCAAGCGCGGAGCCTGGGAAGAGGCAAATGTACTGCAAAGTTTAGGTGACAAAGGCGCCTAACTGTGGCCTTCGCACCGCACGCACAGTTTCAAGCACATACCATCTACATTGTAGACTTTCAGGCCAGCCATGTGCTTAGCGGCTCGGAATTTGGATGCCGTTAGAAGGTTGGGGTTGTAGATGGTGAAGTCCTTGTAGTAATTCTCCAGAACCACCAAGGCTGCTCTCTGGATGCTGTGAAGGGAGGGTAAAAATTAACGCAGGGTTGTCACGGAATACCACCGGTCTACAACGAGAAGTCCTCCGTGTCAGGTCGGTAACTGCAAGGCAGGGAAACCTCCCACGGAAGTCCGCTGGCTACACTCCTCACACGGTCCACTGTTAAGTGGCTCCCTTCCCTCTTCTGGGCTCCATCATTCCCCTTATCCCATCCAGCCAGTGGTTGGAAGGGAAAAAAGTTACAACCTGAAACTGAGACCCAGGGTTAGCGTATACAGAACTTTTCCTGCTTGTCCTTAGTTTACAAAGGAAAAAAGAAAACTGAGGAGCCTCCCACCCACCCAAAGGTAGGAGGTGTGAAGGTGGTCACAGGGCTTGTGAACGAAAGAAAGGTCACAGTTTCTGAGGCCCTCACTAATCCTAGGTTTCAAACACAGATTACAGTGACAGCCTCCATATGAGGCAGAGTCGGCTTGAAATGAGGCTTCAGATAAGACCGTCTGATCATATAAGATCCTGGGAGCCCCTGCCCTTGCCATCTTGGTCATCCAGTGGATGATAGCTCCAAGCTGCCATTTTTGAGCCCGGAGATAAGACCCACACCCAGGACTAAGGGTGCATGCTGGGAGCTGTTTCAGAGAGATCACCCAGAAGTGATGCAGGAAGGGCCTACATCTAGCCCTTCTCATCTGATGCTCAAGATCACTCCAGGCAAGAAAACAAAGGTACAGAAACCCATGAGCCACACAATGGCACGGCATGCACTGTAGTCCGACTAGGACCAGGTGCAGACCGACAATCTAGATGCTGGCTCTTCACCCTACGCTATGTGTTCTGATGCCTGCAGCTTCTGAAGACATTCACCAACCCCAGAGTGCTAAACACCACGGTTCTGTTTTATCTTGCCCTGTTGCGTCTTCTTCCCAACACTCTAAGATGACAGGCTTATGAGGATTATGTACAATAGCCAGAACCCCAGGACAGGGACAGCCTTGGATTCCTGGACGACGATGTGGCATCCCAGTGCTCTGACAGTGGCTCAGAGACCTTCACTTCACTCTGACCGTGCAACCCTTAACTAACCAGCTGAAGCTCTTGTGTGCCCCTGCCACTCCCTTTGGAACTCTGCTTTAAGAGCTGAACCCAGGCCGGGATGAGGCTCAGTTAGAGTGCTGTCCTCTGGACTGCACTGCCCGAACAGGCACTAAGACAGTGTGGGATGAAAAGTAACTTCCCCAAGGGGTGGCCCTAGGTTGGCAGGGATTCAGCGCAGATTTTCATGTATTTCTGAGCTCTGTTCAGTGTGGCTTCCATCTCTGCCCTGCCCTCCTCTGTGACTTTCTCCAGAGAGGGGCAAGGGTTCCTTCACCCGCACGGGACCCAAAGGTATATCCTCCTCCATTACACGCGTGCTTCCTTGAACACTGCTGCTTGCTGCTCTTCTGCCTCTGCCCACACTAATTTCCCAGAACCTCTGGGCCTAAGGCAAGGTGAAGGTCCTAAGCACGAACATAAGTCTCAGTTATATACAGACACACCAGTTCAAACTAGTCCATTCTGTGCTTCTATACCAGCAGAAGAGCATCTCTAGGTGCCTGGATTATAACAGAAAATTCTTCCATAATCCAAAGTTAAGAACTTGCATGCAGGGATTGAGAGATGGCTTAGCTATCAAGCACTGGCTGTTTTCGTAGAGGCCCCAGGCTCAGCCCTCAGCACCTATATGGCAGTTTAAAGCACCTGTAACTGACATTTCAGGAGATCCAATATTCTTCCGGTGTCTGTGGGCTCCTGCTTGCATGTGGGGCACATAAACTCTGAAGGTACATATGTGTTATCAATAAGTAAATAAATAAATCCTTTTAAAAAAAAAGTGAAGAATTTAAAAGCAGTGTCAGAAGTTCTCCCCAGTGCCATCTTCAAAGCTTCTTGTGGTGGCTGCTGAGTTTTGATTTTCATCCTGGCTACAAGCAGGGGCTCAGAGGATGCCATGGGCTCATGCGCTGAGGAAATGGTACTGTTGCTCAATGCCTTTGCCCCACAAATGCCATCTTTAGAAGTGGCTTTTGTCCTTGTCTCGCTCGAGCAGAGCACCTACCCTGTCACCTTCCAGCAAGGCTAGGACAGGCTGAGGCAAGGCCCCTGGCTGCCAATGTTGGGGCAAATCCCTAGGCAGCTGGTGTTCCGGGACAGAGACCTGGGGCTTCCCACAGGGGCTCAGTCCTCTCAAGCCCAAAGGAGCACATCTCCTAAGAATCACAGAAGAGAAGAGCAGGCGTCCCGCTCCTTCTCCCACCCCGTCATCTCACAGAAGCACCAGGGTGACTCAGAGCCAGGCAAGGTCCTGGCCAGCTGCCCAGACTGACAAGCTAGTTCAGGAGCTGACTTACACTCACGCCAAGTTTCTAAACTCCTCCAAGAGCTGTGCACACTCTCGCCTACAGAGAACCGTTTGTCTGGCATCTAACAATACGAGGGAGTGGAATTCCCACAGAACCAAGACAATACATGACCAGTGTCCCCAACTTTAAAGGGGGTTGTCACCGTTTGGGTTAAACGCCAACATTACTGTGTTTCATCTTTTTACAGAGTAAACCATGGTGCGACGGGCCTGAGGTTTTGTCGAGACCTGGGATGGTGATTCTCTGTGTCCACGGCTTAGCTGTGCTTCTTCATACATAACAGCCGAAGACTTGGGTCCAATCAGCAGCTAGAGGCCGCCTGTCCCCATGCTCTGCTCCAGGCTATGGTAACGATCGAAATACTCAGAACTCTACGGCTGATGTCATTTTCTACGTTCTCCCTTGTTGTTGGCTATCAAAGTCATTTCAGGGGCTTAGAGGCTGGCTTAAGTCATGCTAGACCTGCAAGACCAGGACATACAGTGCAAACATTCTTTCAGCCAATGTCAGTGTTCAGATACCGTCCTTGCCTCGGTTTCTCTGTATCCTCCAACGATGGACCACACAGGGCCAGAGCAGGCCTGGCCTCTTTCAGGCAGTCGCTCACATTCTTTAGACCCCATGGCCTGTCCCTAGATTCAGAGTACTCCCAGCGCTACACAGACCGTTGCCATGCTACACGGAGTCAGGCAATGCAATCTCTGGCTCTTTAACAACTCCTTGCAGAAGTCCCTCACGGGCAAGGGCGGCCTCCTTTATTTCTTCCACACATAACACTTGTTGGCTCAACTTGTTCATTTATGAAACCTTAGGATTCCCATAGGTTTAGGACTGGCCAAGAAGTATTTCCTAAAACCATTCAAGGCAAAGGGGGAATGAGAGATGCAGGAAGTCAAATCTTTCAAGGAACCCAGATTCCTAGACAAGATCATCTCTGGGGAGTGAGAGGGGCAAGGGAAATGAGACTGGTGAGGAGCTTGGCATCACGCTGTCAGAGACAAAAGGCAACGAGCTGGCCAAGCCATCTTTAAGCAGGAAATCTAGGACACAGGCTGTGGGCACAACTCTACCATATTCCCAGAATTGTAGGAGTGAAAGCAATCTCCTTGTTCTCCCCAAAGTTCAATAATCAAACAAATCATAATTCATCTAGTCCAATATCCCAATCCATGAAACAATTCTATTGATAACACCCCAGACAACTCCCACCTCTGGAGAGAAAGAAAGAGGGAGATCATGTCATCTTAAATTATTCATTTCATTCATTTGTTTTTTTTTTCTTTAGTAGGATGGGACTAATAACCCAGAATACCTGGCTATGCCATGCGACGTGGGCTCCAAAAGCTGGCTGATATGAAGTGCGTCACTGGAGAGTGAACGAAATGAATTGGGCAGGCTGGCGACATTAGAAATTCCAGCGAGAGACCCTGAGGTGCTGGCGAAGGCTGGCTTCAGGGAGAGCCGCCTTCCGAGCTTCAAGGCTGGTGGGCAAATGCTGAATTCAGACTCTCTGTAAGTTCACTCTGACTGACATTTAGGGCAGGAAAAATATTGGAGCTTGGGGATTTTGCTTTCTGCCTTTCCACGTTGACTTGTCTGTTTAGTTTAGGCTTAGTAAGATTTAATAAGATAATATAATTTAAACGGTCTGGTCTAAGGCACATGCCTCATAAATTATACTGCCATGAGTTTCTCTATCCATGTGTGTGCTGGGGAGGCTGATCTGCCCCGTGTGTACCCATACCAATCTCTCCCACCTAGGAGGGCTGCCTTTAAAATGAGCCAACGTGGAGCCCTCTGAAAAGCTTTCCCTGGGAAGAGGAACCACAAGCACACAAGGTTCCGGCATCCTTTGACAACTCGCAGCCTCTTGACAGTATGATCTACTTATTGGGAGGCAGCCATGACTCATGGGTGGAGAAAACACTGGCCTCCTAAGCAGAAAGTCGAGATTCCAGATCTGATCTTGTCTTTCTGTTACTTTCTAGACTGTTTCCTCTTGGCTTGTGATGAAGAGATAAAAACAACTACCTTATGAAGCCATTGAGATGAACTGAAATCATGCCTGTGAATGTGTTTATAAACCATAAAGCCTTATACAAAATAGTATCATATTATTGAAAATGGTTATAATCATCTTATAATAGGGAATAGGGTTGATTGGTTCATGCCACTCCTGGGCATAAAAGCATGGGCTCAAAATCCATTTATACTGAATGACTTGTTAAGCTTTGTGTCTTCAATGTTCCCTTCAAAGACTATATCCTCAGGGCTCAGTTGCCAGCTTGGGGAACTGTGAGGACAAAACCCTGGAGGTAGAAGATTACAGAAGAAAGTTAGGTCACTAGGAGTGTGCTCTTGAAAGGGACACTGGGATCGCTGATTCGTCCTGTCTCTCTTGCTTCCTGGCTGCCATGGGTTGAGAAGCTGGCTGGACTATATGCTCCCCACCCCAAAGCTCGGCCTGAGGCCAAGTGAGCAAAGACAAAACAAACAAACAAATGAAACCTGAAATTGTGAGTTGACCCCAAATAAGTCATTCCTCCTCAAAAACTAACCATTTCAGGTATTTTGCCTCAGCAATAGAAAACTGACCAACATACTCCTAGAATT